CAAAATTGTTCCCAAAAAATAAGATTGGTAGTGGGCTGGACGGATAGGTTGTATGGTGGATTCAATTGTCACATACCACGCCACAGCACAGCACAGTGTTATCATAATCTGGCGATTCAATCATCCCCGAAAATTGTCGTAGGATGATTTCTGAGACAATGTTGCCAAAAACTGCGATCGATTCTTATTTTTATTTGACTATCATAACATTTGTCACATACACGCAATGTAACATAACCATACGTCAGACGGTGGTCAGAATTTGAAGACTTGAAAGCAAGTTATTGATGTCCGTTTGCTATCTTTGCTTTTGAAGTTCAGATCATCGTTATCCTGCCCTTCTCCCAGTTACCTGGGGTCGGCGCAACATGTTTTCTCCTTCCATACTCTTCTATCATATACCATTTCTTCGCTCACTCCCCTCTTACACATATCGTCTTTCACGCAATCCATCCATTTCTTCTTAGGTCTACCTCTTCCTCTATATCCTTCCACATTCATAGTTAACATTTTCTTACCAAACTGCTTTTTTTATTTATTGCTAAGATGATTGGACGAGCTCACAGCCCACCTGGTGTTAAGTAGTACTGGAGCCCATGGACATCCACAACGTAAATGCGCCACCCACCTATGTGATATAAGTTCTAAGGTCTCAATTATAGTTACAACGGCTGCCCCACCCTTCAAACCGAAACGCATTACTGCTTCACGGCAGGAATAGGCAGGGCGTTGGTACCCACCCGCGCGGACTCACAAGAGGTCCTACCACCAGTAGAAAAACAAAAAGTTCACAAAATCTAGTAAAATGACAAGAAACGTAGCTTACTAAAACGGCAAATATTTTAGGTTACTGAAACGACAAGTATATTAACACGCAGCTTCGTAAATGGATACTGTTTTCCGTTTACGTTTGGGTAGAAGTTTATTACCGTTTCGACTTCAGAAACGTTTCCCTTACGCCCTATATATCGAAGAATTATTGATCTATTTGTTTAGTACAGATACACACTAAAAGTAGGTATATATATATCAATTGAAACAGTCTTTGTTCAAAAAATATATTTTTAAAATTGTGATTGCATATTTATTTATTTAAAGAGAGAGAGAGAGTCAACTAAAAGGAGTCGTTTGTTGAGTAGGGCATTAAAAATATCCTTGGGCCCTCAGTCCGATTCAACCATTTGTGGATCGCCAAGACCCCACATACCTCGCGCGTCCCGCGGAAACCAAACGCATTTCGGCCCCCTACCCAAAAAATTAAAAGGCCTTAAGAATAGGCACCACTATCTTAAGGGTGCCTATTTTAAGGGTAGAATAGCCGTTACTTAAACAAGACTACAACGTCACCATCAAGGCGAGATTATTTTCAAATTGTGTCTATAAATCAAAATACTCAATAGTTGTATTCAATTAACAGTATCAGCGTGCCTACCCGCTTAGAAAATTAACTAATCTGCCTACAAAAGTACTAATTAAAATAAAAACAACAGATTAATAAAATAAACTATCTTTACTAATAAAAAGGGCTTTACTATTAATATCTTAATACAATTTGTTGCCGAGGCGCTCCTAATAAATTATCAGGGATGCTTGTGTTAAAAGTAGCCTGCAAGCTTAGTTATGACTATCTAAGATTTTATCTGAGTTACAAATACAGCTAAAATTGCTCATTAAGCCTTATTGAATTAAGAAATATCTTCAAAATACTTGAACACAAAATCGAATACGAAATTAATTGATACTAAACTGAAACATTACTGATTTTACTTCGATACAAAGCAGTATTTGAAAAGGTTACTATGATAAAATATCAATTCAAAGAAACTTGAATTAATTAATTTCTAGAAATCATCATCGCAGGAAATTAAGCCGTCTACGTCTACGTCTTAATATGAATTTAATTTTCTGTGAACATTTTCGAATCATAAACAAGTTAACCATAAGATACGTTAGTGTAAACCAACAGTACCATGGCTACTTACATATACAAATGTATAGAGCACGCTACGTGCTACGAAACATGGTCGTAGCAAGTAGCTACGCACATTTGCTAACACAAAATCCACTAGATGATATTGCATTTTCAATAAATAAAAACTCACATTTAAAATAAACTATTTTGCATAATAAAATTGAAAACGGAATCTCAGTTATCACTATCAAATTAACTAAAGTGCGTTTATGGGTACCTTTTGTTTATTTTATGTCCGCTTATCGTAAATACTATCTCTGTTCCGAAACAATCTAGATAAGTGAATAATTAAAATGATTAATCCGAGTTAAAAACATTATAAGATCGATAATTCAACAAGATAATGGATTAAATAGGTCAACGTTATTATTTTTAGTAGGTGTACACTGTGGGCAATATGATAATACGATAGCTCTAAGCGTCGGCGATGTCGTGACCTGCGTCGAGGCCTCTGTTTTCGACCTACGCATTAGTAGCCACAGAAATGATGGATGGCCTGAATGCCGCACAACTTACCCGCCCTCTGACACTATTTACTGCCTGACCTCTTTGGTTAAGTAAACATTGTAAATTAATTTTTGGTCTCTATCACGAAAAAACATTATAAAAATAAACACGAAACATTAACCTCAAAATCCGAGAAGACGGAAGTAAAAAATAAAAATAAATAAAATTGAATTGCTATTGCTAGCTAGCTCTAGCTTTCTTTCGATGTGTACTTAAATTATTCTGGACTAATAATCTCGATATAAGTATGTACTTGTTTGCTATACACTCATCCTGTATCACGTGTGAATAATATCTAGAATGACCTTACCCTGACATCTGATAATTTTAATAGCTGTTATATCAAGCACGCATTTTTTTTTCAGTGTAGTCTGGCGCCTGTCGCTTCCCATACGTCTAGTCATCCAGACATACAAAACTCCCACAGCTATCGACTTCCAGACGCCGTACATTATTTCTGAAGTCGACTATTTTCAAATATTTATGCGACAAATACACGGTTAAAGAAGTTAGTTACCTTTTCCTACGAACATCGACATGGGTAGCCCTATTCGAGTAACTGTTTAGATTACTATTATTTATATTATATATTATTATTTACTTTTTATACTAACATGGTCTAATAAAAGTTTATTCAAAAACTATTGCTATCATTTGAAAATGCTGTTTTCTTTTGGTACTATGTACGCAGCATCGTTTCAATTAACTTTTATGGTTTTTCAATTGATTCAATCCTACTCAACTCTAGTGCAATGAAATGACAAACTTTCCAAAATGTGTAATAATAGAATTATATTTTTTTCGTTTTTTTTTTGTAATAATTGCGATACTTTAATGGTGCTAAAACATCGATAATTCTTAACAGTTTTTTATTTAGGTATGTATTAAAAACATAACCTTTTACTTGAAAGTTATACGAGTATAAGCCTCACCTATCATAAACTATGTATAAATAAAGTCGACCCGACTTAGATTGCTGGTATTTATAGCACTTTTCTACTACTAAATCGACGAAAGCTATTTATTATGAACGTTTTTGGCTTAAATTGAATCTTATTTATGGATGGAACCAAGAATAGAGTTTCAGATTTTATCCATCCAGTCGTTATGATTGTTCATTTAATTTCTTTTTTTATCTCAAAGGTGGAATTAAAGTTTGAACCTTCAACATCATCATCATCATCTTCAGCCCTTTGATACGCACTGCTGGGCATAGCCCTCCCCTTTTTTCGATGCCATTCTCATCCACGTCTGCCCCGCCGTCCTGACTATGTCATCCGTCCATCGTGCCATGGGTGTTCCGAATCTCTACGACCTAATCTTGGTCACCGTTCCTGACATTGTCTTACTCTATCTATTATCATTTCGCCTTGCTAATTGTCCAGCCCAACTCCATTTTAGATCTGCTAAACAGCATTTTACCAACTTTAGTTTGGCGTCTAATCTGAGTATTACGAAGCCAATCTATCAGATTGACACCCAGCATAGAGCGCTCCATTGCTCGCCATGCAGTGCCCATTCTGTAACATGGTCTCACGGGTAAGAATTCATATTTCTGCACCGTATTTTAATGTGAAACTTCATAATTTTAATTATTCTGTACATATTAGTGAAGTGTAAATCGCGGTTACAGAATTCTACCTATGAGTCGGTAATAGAAATCGTGAATTATAACAGACTAAGTGACTAATTCAAGTAAAGATGACAACAAAATAAATCCGGTGAAGACTCACTCACCAAAGACAGATAATAATGGAACTTATTAAAGACTTAAAAAGTCTTCATCAAAAAGCACGCTAGATTACAAGACATGTAGCAGATTATGCCAGAGATCATGACAATTAATGTTTGAGATTCCAATTAAACAACTAAATACACAGTACATACGGAAGTCAATATTTGCGTTAAGGAAAGTTCATGTCGCCAGTAGTAGAGGCCGTCGGTAAATGAACCGTCCACATCGTAAATAGTGCTTACGGTCGCCACTGGACCTTTGCACGCTATTTTTTGTCCTACATAGACATCATTTGGCTACCGTTTCGTCTGCTTGTATTATGTGATAGTTCGGCCTTCAAATATTTTATAATAAATAAAAAAACGTTAAAATATTACCAACAAAAGACGACTTATGTTTGGAAATTGTACAATAGTTTTTTTTTTTAAAACGATTACGAGTTTCACTTTATTAACAAACAGTGATAATCATGTTCCTAGAAAAACGCTATCAAGAATATTATGGACACGTTATTTTAGTGCCATAAAGATTTTTATTGCAAGTAAACTTAAAATTCGTTATTCTATCGCTGTTTCTGAAAATGTCACTAGCATTAATCATCTTCATTAGTAAATATATCGCCGTTGAATAATTTCAATGCTACAATAAAACAATGCATCGTTCGTGTGCTGTGGTTGAATATCTGCGCAAATTGCACTCTCAAGCGCCATTCAACAAACGCTGTCCACGCAGTTATATTCAATAATGAGGTCAATAAGCAACAATTTGCAGTATGTGTATACATACCGTTATAGGGCGCCATCCTGACTGTACTGTAGAGCGCAGTAACTGAATAATAAATGCAGCGAAGCAAGGTTATGTTATAATTATCCGTATCCACAGGAGTCTGCTGAAATTTAACTACGCCGATTACTTCGCGCAATAGCACTAACGCTGTCTATTCAGCATATATGACGGTTTTACGTCAGACTAACGAGGTTATAGTATAAGTATTTGGTGTGACTAAGGCTGTCGGTCGACTGACGTGCACCCCGCCCGCCTTTCAGTGCAAAGTGATCGCGTGGCGGGGCGGCTGGGTTGCCTTAAATTCATCCAACTCTTCGCAAAACCGGGAAAAACATAAATAAATACAATAAAGCTTTCTTGTTTTTCTATTGTGTACTAAGTTCGAAGTTAGTTTATTTAAAATGTGAACATAATTTTAAAAGAGAGGCCGCTATTCTTTCATCGTCTATGTAGATACGTCTATGTAGATAAATATGCATACATATATTTCTCTCTAAACGGATGTTCTTATAATTGAATTTTTATTTATTAAAAATGTGGATTTACAATGTTACTCGGTCCTTTATTCTTAATTAACCCTTAAATTATTATTATTTTGTTAGGGCTCCTTGAAATTGATAACGTCATAATTAAAACAATTTTTACGATCGCCTGTGACCAGTAAAACTGTGTTTCAACTTCGTAAATATGTACCATATCTTAAAAAAGCGAGATCAAACCGTACATGTACTTTTTATTATATCTACAACGTGCGAAAAATGAAGATGCTATCGTCACTTAAAAATGAATCCTATGAAGACTTATAAAAAGATTTATTTAATTAAAGTTTACATAAGTTTTAGTAGTTCCCTAGATTCATAGATGATCCTATCGATTGCATAACGCAGCCTTAAAATATGGTGTATTTTAGAACCGGTAACCCTGAGGGCTGTACCTACCCCGCATCTCTCTCCTGTCTGCTGATTGCAGACTTTATCGGCGTTGCATGGTAAACTTGCATGGCAAACTCAGACTGGTAAACTCAGTTGCATGGTAAACTCAGATCGTTGCATAGCGCAGTACAGTAAGCATATATTATTATATAATCAACAACAGTGTTATCCCTAGAGTCTCAACAAAAAACAATCATTAAAAAAGTACTTCGAATACTCAAAACTAACAGAAGCACTGGCTTTTTATTATCAAATAGGAAATGAATAGGATCTACGTTATTAAAAAAAAAAATAGTCAAGAAAGTCACAAGCAAAAAAGAAAGAAAAACGGTTAATAAACTAATTTTAATGTACTTCTCCGTTTTGATAAGACTATTTAATAATTTATATGTTTTATAATAGAAAAAATTTTACGTTCCTAAACCTTTAAACTAGTTTATTTTTATATTTCTACGGCTTCTGAGGTTTCATTCATGAGGTATGAAATTTCATCGCTAGCCTTAAGCTCCCTCTAGTAAGTTCTCGAGAAAACGCGGCATTTGAAACCATCGAATTAGATTTCGAAATGAAGCTTATTTGGAAGCTCCACAGGTGTCGCTTTGAAGGTTCATACCATGTACAAGGTCTGCGAGTTTCCTCTTAGCGTTTCCTTGCTAGATGGCGTTGCTAATCGAGTATTTCTCTTACTATAATTTTCAATCTATCCTCAATTCTTCTAGTTCTTTTCTTCTTCTTTTCTAGAATATTTTGCCAATTTCTCTAATGAGAAGGTGATCTATGTATTTTCTTCTAATTTTAATTTTCAAATTAAAACTACTTTTACAGTTAAATTAGAATCTAATCTAAAAATAAAAGCAAGATTAAAAGCTATTGAAAAGTATGTCGAAAAAATTGTGTAAATAAAAACTGAATAAAGCTTTTGTGGTTCACAATGAAAATAGTGTGAAATAAATATTAAAACGTAATTAAAAAACATTATAGCTGGGTACCGTTTAATGGTGGTGAGAATAGCGTTTAATAGGGCGGGCTGAGAATGGAAAAATCGTGGTAAAAATAGTATGTGGGTTAAGTCATCTATCTTGCATCGTATTTTGTCCAATAAATGACAAAAAAAGATTTTGAGGATTTTAAACTTTTTTATTATAGTAAAACTATAAAACATATAACTAAAATGTAAAAATATCAATAAAAATATGGGTTTATTTATTTATTGCTTAGATGGGTGGACGAGCTCACCTGGTGTTAAGTGGTTACTGGAGCCCATAGACAGCTACAACGTAAATGCGCCACCCAGCTTGAGATATAAGGTCTCAGTATAGTTACAACGGCTGGCCCACCCTTCAAACCGAAACGCATTACTGCTTCATAGCAGAAATAGGCAGGGCGGTGGTATCTACCCGCGCGGACTCCCAAGAGGTCCTTCCACCAGTAAAAATTGAAAAAACTGTTTTACGAGTTTATCGATTAATCTACACTTCCAAGAATCAAACTTGTTTACGACAAAACTTGAATAGTGTTTTATATTCAAGCTGTAGTTCTGTTATATAACGCATCAACAATGTCTTGGTATGTTGTTGTATACCCAATCCTAGATGTTACATGATATTACATAATGTTCATGGTTCTTTCTGGTTAATAAGTTTCTGTCTGTGTACTAATTTCGATAGTCACCCAATTTTTTGTGTTGATATGTTTTCGTGGTTACGCATATTGTATTTATTGGTATAGTTTTTTTACACGCTTGCTAAATTTTACAGAGAACGTTTTATGTACATATTAGGGAAGTATTATACCAGTTTTTCAGCTTCCATATATCGTAGTATTGTCTTCTGTTTTCGCCGGTCAACTTTCACGGATTAACCTTGCGTTTATTATTTTCAGCTTATCATTCCCAATGTTTCGAGCATTCAGACAGAGACGACTAAAGTTATATTCTTCGACATCTAAATATTGTGCTAACTACCGTCTAATCTATCTATCTATCTATCTATATATATAAATGAATTGCTGTTCGTTAGTCTCGCTAAAACTCGAGAACGGCTGGACCGATTTGGCTAATTTTGGTCTTCAATTATAAAAGTCCAGAGAAGGTATAAAAGGTAAATAAATATGAAAATGCTCGGAATTAAATAAAAATAACAATTTTGTTTTTCCTTTGATGTGTCCCCCGTCGGACGGATTCGTTTTGTTTGTTTTAAGTTTATTTTATACAAAAAATTAGGTTTTTTATTTATCAGTTGAGGCAATACGAAGTCTGCAGGTCAGCTAGTTTTCTATAAAATATCTATTAATATTTACATTTTTTTGGCAGCATATTTTTTTTAAACGACCTAGCATACCATAAGTGAATTTTTAGCTTGTGAATGTGAGACGTCCAGTCCCGGCTCGGCAGTTCTAGTTCAGCAGGTTATCTGCGCGATACACACACTGGGTCTGGACAAACCAATCGATCCCTGGTCGAGGATGATTAAGGAACTTGCCCAGCAAGGTATCCTAGGATCCCCAATGTACGTTTAGGGTTCAAAAAATGAGTAATTGCGCATACGCATCTGGAACTGCCACACGGAGTTCGTGGACGCGTGCACTGTTCTAGATTCACTAGGCCTTTTTGTTAAAATTATAATTAAACTTCACACGCGGTCGTCGAATTCGATTATGTTTGAATCTATATATTAATACGTGAAGCAAAAACTTTGAATCCCTTTTTACGAAAATTGCGCGGACGGAGGAGTATGAAATTTCCCACACTTATAGAGAACATAGAGAAGAAGAGCAGAATATTAATATATTTTTAAAAGTATGCATTAAAAATACATTAAGTCAATAAAGAAAACATTACACACTCTACCATGTATTTGATACAACACCTACGTATATATATATATATTCTTTGTTTATTGTCAATTGTGAAACTTTTGTTATTCTTTAAAGTCTGTGGTCAAATTGAGAATAGATTAATATTTTTTGTCTTCAATATTATTTATCTATAATGTAGTTTTGGTGAAATCTGTATTATATAGAATACATTAATATCTGTATTATTATAGAAGTATAATAGTGTTTGACAATAGAACCATAATAATGGTTAAACTTTTATTTTAAATTAATTATAGTCGCATTTCGACTACTGCGGGGACCACTAGTCCTTATAGATTTGGTTGCGTGTTGCTCGTCTCCCGTTCGTAATCGATGTGATTTGCATACGATGTAGCATCGCTCTGTCATTTGATGGATCCGAACGTGGAAATCGATTGGTGTTGTAAAATGTCACATTTAAAATTTACCGCGAAGACGGCACAGCTTGTTTTATTTAACGAGTATGTAATTGGATTATGGTTACTAAAGCACTATTATATAGCATAATTTAAAATATTATTGTAATTATTATTATTATAATATACTTTTGCTTTCCATGAAACAGTATCTTTATGGATATAATTAGACTTATTATGTGACTATTCAAGTCCGACGTCTCTACTTCAATTTTATTCATAACGATTCTCCGTATAGAAATTAATGACGAGTATTTGAAAGCAAACGTTCAATTTAATAGGCTTTCGACGGTCCCTTACTAGAATTTTCTGTTATCTTTGATTGTGTTATCGTATATTTGTGTACATAAAATATTTTCTTTCGTGTATTTTTATCTATTGAAGTTTGGGGGAAAACTTTTTCTTGAAATTGATAAAAGTATTCGCTTTTTGAAAATCATAATTTAAAGCGATTTTTTGCCCACGTAGGCAGACAAATTTACGGCCCACCTGATGGTGAGTGGTTACCGTCGCTCATGGACATCAGCAAAGCCAAGGGCACAGCCAAGCCGCTGTCTGTCACGAAACTAAACGATTCAGTACAAATATGAAAATCCAAATAACAAACAATGGCCATTTATTTTCTTATTCATATACCGCCTGTCCTACATCCAGACAAAAGTGAAACTAAAGTAGGTACTCCGATTTATCCGTAGACAGTAGACGTTTTGTTAAGCTTTCCGTGACGCCACCGAATATTGATTTTATAATTTACATAGAAATATAGACCATGTGAGAAGTGCCACGTGTACCGTTTTTCAAACCTCCAATATAATTAGATTTGTAGTATTCATAGGTTTATTCCCAAGCGGAGTGTTCACACGTGTACTTTTTAATACATATACCTAGTCAGGTCATAAATTCTGTCACATGTTTAATGTAAAATAATTGAAACAAGTTTATTCATTATGTAACCATTCATATATCAAAATGAACTTAACAAAACATAGATTCTTATGACACTAAAGTTTGTTCAAAATGACCTCCGTGATTTTGAATATAGGC